AGTTCATCACCACCAAACCAGTATTATATGAAATGCTGAAAGGTATCCTTTAAGAAGAGGAAGAAGAAGAAAAAGGTAAAGATACAAATTATGAACAACAAATACACATCTATCAACATGTGAATCTAAAAATCAAGTGAATAAATAATCTGATGAACAGAATAAACTGGTGAGTATAATAGAATCAGTGGCATAGAAAGGGAGGGGACTGACTATTCTTGGCGGGGGGGAAGGGGTGTGGGAGATGCGGGAAAAGACTGGACAAAAATCGTGAACCTATGGATGAGGACAGTGGGAGAGGAGTGAGGGCGGATGGTGGGGTGGGAACTGGGAGGAGGGGAGTTATGGGGGGAAAAAAGAAGAACAAATGTAATAATCTGAACAATAAAGATTTAATTAAAACAAAACAAAACAAAACACTAGGAACAATCAGACATACACCTACAAGTTCATATAAACAGAAATACAGGCACAACAAGGAAGAAGTTCTCAGTAACAGACATCTAGACACTAAAGCCCTGCGTCAGATGCCCCTGTAACAAAACTGGGGTACTTTTTCACTGGGGCAGGCCAATCCTCACACTTTGGGGTCCTCCTTTATTACCTGACCTGGAAAGATGTACCCTTTCTGATGCCCCTTAAAATACTGAAACATTTCTCATATTAAGTTGTATTCCGGACACATCCTTCCTGCCATAGGATGAAAAGGGACTCCCATGTATGCATGAGGGGCCAGCAAGAAATAGATCCAATCTTTAAGAAAATTGATCCTAGTACAAGCTACAGTCCCCAGCATCCAAAGTTCTCAGCCACTTTCTTATTGCTCTGTAGCCTCTCTTACAGCTTGACAGGAATTCTCTCCTGAAGTCTCCTGCCCACCTCCCCCATCTCTGGAGCCCATAGAGTAAGGACTATTAATTCTCCCTACAAATGAGGAGTGGGTCACATGCCTGGAGTTGCCAAGAGCTCTAATTGGTGATACACAGCTACTATACTGTGATTGATGGTTTATTTCTCTGGCTGGGGTTGACCCCATTAAAACTTTACAGCCCTGGCTGGCTAAGGAGACCCCGTCAGAAACTCCTGTCCCCGCCTCTCTTCCTCAAGAACGTGCGTGGGCATGTGTATGTGCGTTGTTGCACTAAAGGAAAAATTAAATGGAGAATCAGAACAAGATCTGAAAAGTAGCCTGAGACCAGGATCTCCAGTAAGGGCTGAGGCAGTAAGGACCCAGGGGTACTGAATCATACAAACCGAACTATCCAGACTTTAGCTAAGCCAGGAGAAGGACTGGGTGTCTGTAAGTCTTGCGACATTTATGGCCTTACAAGATTTTTCTTGCTTCCTCTTAGTTTCTTACCAAACTTTTTCTTTGAAAATCTGGTTTTGATCCGGCTGAACACAAGAAGTGCGCCCCTAGGGGCCCGGGGAGGGCGGCACTTCAAGCCCCCCTCCAAAATGCACCGGGACTGCAGCCACTCACAGGGTACCAGGGTTCCCCACCTTCGCGTCTTCAAACAATGCGTGCGTGGCAGCTCGCGCCGCCGGCCTCCTCCTATGGAACCGCACCCGCGACGCTCTCCGGGGTGGAATCAGGGGACCTGGTCCGGACGTTCTGTCCAGAAAGCGCGCGCCCTTTCTCTCCGCGGGGCTCCCTTCCATCCCCCACTTTCCTCATCTCTTAAGGACCAGGCTCTGACCCGACAAACCGGGTCCCGGATGCTTCTCCACCTCGTATTTTAAACCACCCTCGACCTTCTCAGACTGCAGCCCAGGCTCCGCGGCGCTGCCCCACGCCAGCCCGGCACAGAGGAGGGACCGTGCCCCTCCGCAGCCACTCCTCAGACTCCGCTCTCCGCCCCCCCATCCCCCGCCTTGCTCAGCGCCCCGGCAGCTCCAGCACAAACCTAGCGATGCAGTCCGGGGCGCGGGCGGCGTGAGACCTCCGCGATCTCACGGTGAACTCCTCGGGGGTGGCGCGGTGGTTAGCACCGTCTCCAACAGGGTCTGAGGATGCGTACCTTGCTGGGTCGCCTGGCCAGGTCTTCGGACCAAAGTCTTAGAGCCCAGAACCCACGGTGCTGAGAGGGTTTAGGGAGCGCCTCTCCGCCCCCCTGCACCCTTTCCGTCTTCCACTCCCAGCCTCGGCAGCCCCGTGCAAGCGGACGTGCCCTTTTCGCTCCCCACGTGGCCACACCAGCTGAGCCCTCGCCACGGACGCGAACTTTCCCTCCACTTGGGTCCTGCGAGCACGTGACGTCTCACCTTGCGCACCCGGGTCTCCACGGGGCACCTCCGCGGGTCCCCAGTGCGCCGGCTTCTACCCCGCCCCATTTCGCCCCGCCCAGCCATAGATCTGGGGTGCGCCGTCTCCTCTTCACCTCCCCCCCCACACACACAGCCCCGCCCGTCCTGGCGCAGAACTAGAGAGGGAGCTGGACGAGAGCGGGAGTCCGGGGCTCAACTTCGGGGCTCAACTTCGAGCCAGGCGGGAGCGAAGCCGCAGTCCCTGAAGCGGGGACTCCGCAACCGCAGGTCAGATGCCGGAGGTCTCCCTGGGCCTGCAGATCTGGCGCTGGGAGAAGGGGGGCGGGGGAGGGGGGAGCGGAGGGAGCTCCAGCGGCAGAGTGTGCCCCAGCTCCGCCACATTTTTGAGGCAAGGGGAATTCAGCCAGACCCTCCCGCGCCTCGGTTCTTCGCCTGAGGCTGCAGTGGGTCCCGTTAGGGCCTAGCCTCCATCCACCAAGGTTTTGGGAGACTAGATGCTTTGGGGTCTGGGAATGTTGGGTGACCTGGTTTGCTTGGGCGTCGGGGATCTCTCTGAGCTCTTCCTGGCAGCAGCACATCATGCCAGGGAGGGAACTGGGGACTGTTAGAGACCAGGCTTTCCTCTTCAGTCCTCCCTTGGGACCAAGTTGGACTCCCTACGGCCTTGACTCCTCTTTCCCCACCCCAGAGTCACTGCTGTAGGACTTCGTGGCTGGAAAAGTTGCCATGTGGGTCAAGAAGGAGGCAGGCCTGTATTCGCTTCCTGGTTCTGCCGCTGCCTGGGGCTTTACAGTCCTTTCCTGAGGTTGTGCCTTCCTTTGAAGGTTGGTAAAAAGTTAGGGAACAAATGTGCTGTGTAAATCCCCGTGGCTACCCACCCACAAGGAGTGCTTGTTACGTGTCCGCCTTCTCCTTCAGGTGGTTCCCACAGCCTGGCCTGCAGGCTCGCTGCCTGCTTTTAGGGACTGAGCGGTACATTGGTGTCCGGACCAAGGATCCAGAAGTCAGAGTGGGAGGGGAAGGGGGCAGGACATTCTAGATCAGGGAAGGACCACTGTGGGCACTTCGGCATGTCCAGCCTTATGGCTTCAACCACCCAGAGCCCCGCTCTTTCTTCACAAACTATCAAAGGCTGGTGGTGTCTGGACAGTCTCTGGGATGGAGTGGGTAGAACAGTAAACTTTTGAATTATGACAGGGCCTACATTTTTTCTTCTATTTTTTTATTTTTATTGGTTTCAGAGAGGGAGGGAGGGAGGGAGAGAGAGAGAGAGAGAGAGAGAGTTAGAAACATCAATGATGAGAGAGAATCATTGAATAGCTGCCTCCTGCATGCCCCACATGGCATCAAGCCCACAACTCGGGCATGTGTCCTGACCAGGAATCGAACTATGACCTCCTGGTTCATAGGTTGATGCTCAACCATGGAACCACGCTGGCTGAGCTCATTTCTTTAATGAGATATGGTCAGTGGGGCTGAGGTCACCCTCTGGGTTCCCTCCTCTGTGGCTAGACCACCTGTCCAGGAGCCCTGAGGGTTTGGCTTGGAGATGAGGCTTTCCATGAGCTCCCACCTTCCTCCACTAGATAGTTCCCCAGCCCCACTCCACCCGCAACCTCCATATTGCCTTTAGGAGGTCTTCACTGGCGCTGGGCACTCCCTGTGCCACTTAGAAGTCCCAACCTGAGTCCCCTGCTGCCTTTGTCTCCCTGTTGTCGCTACGTGATTTATTGGCCTGGGGAGAGCGAGCAGGACATTGGCATTAAACATAGGAACCCCTCTGAGTTGACTCAGAGGAGCCAAGCTCCAGCCCACACTCTCTATACAGTGGGGCCTTGACTTAGGAGTTTAATTCCATCTGAGACCGAGCTCGTTAAGGAGCTCGTTAACTCAAATTACTCTGTAAACTCAAAGCAAAAAATCCGTGAAGAGACAGCTGGTATCTCAAAAAACTTGTTAGTCGGGACACTGGTAAGTCAAGGCCCCACTGTATTACATTTACATAACACCTGCCACTTCTCAATCTCATATTTGATTCCCAAAACCGTGCTAGAAGGTAGACAGTTCAGCATGTTTACTCCCATAACTGGAAGAGGAAACCAAGGTCCAGACCAGAGAAGTGATCTAAGATCCACACAGTGGACTGGCAGTGGCACCATATCCCGGCCTCCTAACGAGGCTCCGTCCAAGGAACACCTGCATAAGCACAGTTTTCCATTTATTCTTGGGCACCCAGGAGTGTGAGGATCTCTGTTTGCTTTGTTCACCACTTAATCTCCAGTGCCTAGGCCCATGCCCAGTACGTAGTGAGTGTTCATCAAGTAATTTGTGAATGAGTGAAAGATTCTTGGGAGGGAGAGAGTCTCCCTGCTCTGTGCTACTTACTGTGGCCTTGTCCCAGCCCCACGGCTGGACTCATGCCAAAGCTCTGCCAAAGCCCTGACCGGACTTTCCTTAACTGCTGGGGTTCGTTCTCTCTGCACTCTGTCTTTTTCTAGGGTCTCCATTTTACGGTATTCTCCATTTTCATCATGGGCTTCTGCCTGGCTCTGGCATGGACACTCCTGGTTGGGCCATGGATACCCACTGGTGAGTACAGCTTGGAGGAGATTCATGGCTAGGAGCAGAGGAACCCAGCATCTTCTGGGCTTCTCCAAGGACAGACGCTCTATCACATTCATTTCTATGCCTGCTCCCTAGCTAACACAGTAGCCTGCAGGCACTCATCTCCAGCGTGTTGATTGTGCCTTCCTTTCATGTCAAGTATGGGGCCAGGAGAGCAGCTCTGAGATCCTGTCCTTAGTCTGAGTGGGTGGCCCTTTGGCTAATGAGAGTCCTTTTCTTTGCTCTGTTTTCTGAGTTGAGGAGAAGGGGAGACTCAGCCCTATGGCCTCCACCCCAGACCCCAAATAGAAAAAGACTGGTTAGACACAGGAGCAAATAAAGGATGTTGGGGTCAGATTGGACTGAATGCTGACTTCCTCAAAGGGAAGTCACCAGCGTTCTAAAACAACATGATTAGGGAAAAAATCCACAAGAGTTTCATCTTGTTACCTTTGGCTTTGGATGGTCTCTTGCTAGAATCTGAGGCAATTCCCTCTAGTCTGGGTCTCTGAGGAGGGAAGTGGGCTTAAGGTGCCACAAATTAGGTTAAAAGAGCAAGTCTGTGATCATCAGGGGCGGGGATGCAAGAACAAGGAGCAAAGAAAATCTGTGAAATGATCTGTCCTGGCTGGCGGCACAGCCTAGGGTCGGCAAACTCATTAGTCAAACAGAGCCAAATGTCAACAGTACAACGATTGAAATTTCTTTTGAGAGCCAAATTTTTTAAACTTAAATTATATAGGTAGGTACACTGTTATTAACTTAATTAGGGCACTCCTAAGGCTTAGGAAGAGCCACACTCAAGGGGCCAAAGAGCCGCATGTGGCTCACGAACCGCAGTTTGCAGACCACGGGCATAGGGTGATGAGCCAGCCCCTGCAGCTTCTCCCTTGCCAGAGCTGCTCACATTTGCATTTCTTCCAGCCTTATCTATGCCTTGGCCTTAGATTTCCCTTTTTCTTTTGCCTCTAATTCCCAAGAGGCATTCTCCCCCATGCCCTCCCCAACAGCTCCCATCCCTTGTTCTGCCACAAGTTCATCTTGTTTTAGAGATAGAATGTATGTGGCTGCCCTATTTCTGCCCCAAGTTGGGATCCTTAGTTGGATTCTGCAGGGATGGAAAACTTTTCCCTTCATCCCTTCTTGATTCTTGGGCTTCTTTACCACCCTAAGCTGAGGAATGGGATAGTGGTCTGGGGCATCAAAGGGGAGAAGGGAAATTTATAAGACAATAGGAAGAGCAGATATCTGGTTAGATGTTTGCCCTGCCATCCAGATCAAAAGTTACTCTGGTATTAACCCTCTTTCTGGGCCAGGCCCCTACCTAATATTTTTTAGGTGGTTGAGAAAAGGGTAGGTTTTTCTTGAGTCTGCTATAGCTTGACTGCCTTCAGCTCAAAATAATCCACATGCCAAAGTGACATATTTTGGGGTCACTTATTCTGCTTCTCCTCAGTTCTTTGCTCAAATATCAGGGCCTGAGTCATTTTTCCTCTCTGACCACGTGGTGTGTGTGTGTGTGTGTGTGTGTGTGTGTGTGTGTGTGTGTGAGAACTATGGGGCAGGAGAGTAGCTCTGAGATCCTGTCCTTGGTCTGAGTGGGGAGACAATCTGAGGAACAGGTCTCCCTCTGGCTAATGAGAGTCCTTTTCTTTGCTCTGTTCTCTGAGTTGAGGAGAGGGGGAAACTCAGCGCTATGGCCTCCTCATTTGGTGAAAGGAATCTGGCTGGTCCTCTGATCTCCTGACCAGAAGGCCCCCTGATAACGTTCTGATTCTGGATCCTTCCCTCTGCCCCCATTGCCTGAGTTCTTCCCTCAGCAGCTGAGTACTCCCTCCCAAACCCTAGATTTTTGGAGCAAATAGTGTCAAGAGGAGGAATTATATGGGGGACATGTTGGCCCCCAAAGAGAAGGGGGGCAAGGTTATCCACTTGACTATCAGTCCCTGATCCCACCCAAGAAACTGGAAAAAAGATCAAAACCACAGCTCTGTGGCCCACATCCTTGCCCTGGGCTCTGCTTATCAGGAGAGGGCCAAGCCCCTGCCCCTGCCTGGGGACGGATCAGAGAATGACATGTCCTTTCCGGTGTGGAAGAGTGGCTTGCTCTTTGGGGGTGGCTGGCTGTTTGGGGGTGGCTAGCTCTTGCTCTGTGTGATGTCTTAAGGCTTGGAATGGCTGCTGTCCAGCCATGTCCCCCAGGGAGCTGAAGTGTGAGAGTGACAAAAGTCTCTCGCATCTCCTTCTCCGTTGCCCCTGTTCTTCTGCTTCCTCTTTCTCTCTGAGGCCATTTGTCAGCACACTGCACATGGCTGCCTGGCTACAATCCTGAAGTGCTCCCTGCCATATCTGACCCCCTCCCCGCCAACAGCTTAAAGATTGGGCTTGAATTTGAACATCACTTTGCTCTGATTGGCTCCCTCTGTACCCTACCCTACCTCCCA